GCGCTGTTACACAATTACAAAGAAACGTTAAAAAGAAACCGCGTAAACCGCAACAGAATGACACAGGATACTCGATGCTATCTCGGCAATAGTGCTTGTCATATTTATAACTACACCTCGTTAATGATGCTTGCACGGATGTTTATTATAGACAATTGTAATTTGATATGGTGGTGCAACGTGGTGTAAAATAATGCAATAGGGCCTACGTGTATTTTGAAAACGGTACATTAATCTCCTTACTTTTTGCTGTATAGGCCTATGCTTTCTTAATGTCTAATCAGAAACAACGAAAAACCAAACACGACTTTTTTAGTACAAACAAGCACACACAAATAGCGAAACACATTTCACTCTCTTCTAACTGTGTTGTAAAATTTGATTTATTTAAACGAAGATAAACAGATTTCGTGTTGTCATTTTTTTCACACCACCTCACCCTTCGAGCATCAAAATAAGCTTTACACGTATTTGCCTGAAGTATTTTAAAGTGATTTCAGTTTGCCGACAGAAAAAAAGGAAGAAATACAGGAAAGTTCGCTCATCCCTCTATAGCAACCAAAAACTTGAGCAGATGACAAAGTGTCTTGAGGCGTGGACGGTGTGTTTGCAAAACAATCTCAGGCTTTCTCAAGCTCCCCAAAATATTAAAAAGGAGTGTCGAAAATTGGAAGTAGTGGGAGATAGAAAAACAAAAAGCGAATGTCAAATGTAGCACTTATACCGTGCTGGTAAGAAGGCTTTGCGGCAGTCTTTTAATCTTTCTCAACAGACACTTGTATATCCTGTCAGTATCCTCATTCATTTACACTACTAATACAAAGAAAAAGCCCGCCAAATAAAAACTCTCCCGCCAAAAAAAAATTGGAAGAAAAACAAATAACACAACAGAAAAGATCTTATGGCACGTTCGACGGTGAAAACAAAAGAGAAAGTCGCGTTGGAACAAACGGCTATTTCGGTACCAAACAAAACGAGCAATTAATCAACACATTTCGTTTTCTGTAATTTTCAAAACCAATATGGTTTGGCGGTGTCGAGTACTTATCACCCCTCTCTCGGCGAAAAGTGGTCGTCCTCTCACACCGAAAGAAAAAAGGGAGGAAAAAAACACAACTCCAGTGGATAAATTGGCTTGCCCCGGCGGGGCTGGAGTTTGCAGAGGGCAATGGTTCGGTAAAATTCTGTCTCATTTATCTTAGAGGGATCGTGAGTTGGTTCCAATGCGGGCGCACAGAGCCGCGGGGCCAACGCCGCGCCGGGTCTCTCAGGCTCAGCAAGGCGAGCCGAGCGCGGTGTGACGGCCGTGCGCGCCCCGGCCGCTACGCGCTGCACTGGGGCGAGATCGCTGGTGCGTGCATCGCTCCGTGATTGTGTTTCGGTGCTTTGACGCCCGGGCCCGGGCTATGCTTTCACAGCTCCGTTCTGACTGTGATTTATTGTTTTAAGATTCGCACAATACCAGATTCTTCCTTTTCCCCATTGTTGACCGAATGCAACACCGTCATCCACGAAGTAAAAAAAGGCGCAGGGAAATGAATGGAGTCGTGCAAACGGCTGCATGATCATGTATACATTATCTACCCTACTCTCCATTATCGTCAGATGATATCTTTCAAAATGACACAACATTGAAACCAAATCTTGTATTGATTTTAAACCTCGTGCATAGGGCGATAGGTTTCCAACACTCGACTCGCGTCTTTGGTAATTGATTGCAAAATAAATGAGGAAGTGGCGTCTGTAGGGCGCCACCACTGTTCGCAGTTGATTTTCTTCAGTCGTCAATGCGGTATCTTCATCAAAGAGCGCTTTCAATTCGGTCTGTAACTTAGCACGAAAAAGTTCTTTAAAATTGCTTTTCTATTGATTGGTATCGACTATACTGAATTCGCGAAAGTGATACAATGATACAATGTAAACATAGTATCAGTGATCGGATATAAAGGGTAGGGGTTCGGTTACGTAAAAAAACGAAATTTATCCCTAGAAAATGTGTGTTTAAATCAATGTATGTCAGCGTAGTTTGTTATTTTTTTCACAGGAGAACGAAATTGTGACTGCCGTTCATTTTGATTGCACAAGTACAGTTTGGATGAGCAACCTCTCAAAAAATTAATTATTCAGCGATACGACGGTCTTAAGTATACAGCGCCCTCTGTTGACTATTGTGTCAACAGTGACCTAGTCCCTCCACCAAATTTATAGCCGACTTGAACAAAGGTCAGTAACTACTTAAAGCAAACTGGCGCGACCTTATTGTCTCCAGTAAATAAAAAACAACAGTTTATGTGAGTCTGTGTAGTTTTATTTAAGCACTTACCGTTCGAGTATAAACCTACATGCGTGCCAGCTAAACCTGTGTACATACTGTCATCAACGCTGTTTTTATAAACACCTATTTCACCAAATTTGGCTACATTCTGTGGTCGTTTGAAGAAGATAGGGAGCGAAATATTTTAGTTTTGAAATAAACACATATTTGACGAAAACATGGTGTCCGACCTGACTTCTCAATAATCGTCTCACTTTTCTAAATGGCGCCATTTCTCTACACTGTAATTGGCATTCATAAATTTCTTTCATATTTATGATGAAAAAAAAACCCTGTATACTTTCCACCGTTTTGCCTCGCTTTCCTCGAAACCATTTTACTTGTCAAACACTTGACTTTACACACAAGTTGTTTGTATGTTTGTATTAAACAATCTAACTTTTTCTCCATCTATTTAGTTTGACTCTTTTGCGATGGGTTGATTCTATTCCTTTCTGCAAACAGACTTGACAAACGATTGATGATAACCCACACAAAATAATACGCGATTGCGTGCGCGCCAATTTGCCCAATGTTTCCACCCAATTGTCGCGATTGAATAACCCAGAAATTCCGCTTAATGGAGATTGTTTAAACACGGCCCCATCCTCCCCAATTAACTCAAGCCACATTGCCTCATTTTTCTACCGTATTTCCCCAGTCAGTTAAGTCTGACGTTTGATCAGTTTCTATTTGTTAATATAGATACATGTATACAGTCAGCAGCTAGTATGCAAAGATCGCGGCTAGACAAATATCAACCTGATGTTTCCTAATCGGGATAATGATGATGATGATCTAGCAACGAGAAAATGGGGGCTGGTCTCCAACCCTCACCCCCCCCCCCCCCCGCCTCCACCCCCGGAAAATTTGCAAACAGCACGGTACAACCATGGAGGAATAAAACACACAACCAGCGTTCATCGTCGTACCGCGTTGTCATCGCATTTTCACGACCATCGTAAAACAAAAATCCAATGTAGAACCCCGATAGGCCGGACTCGTAAAAAACGTTCAGCGCAAATAAAGGCGAGCTGTCTTCAATCAGAATTCATAGCAGGAGTGATAAAACAGAATGGTTAGCTTGCGGTCTTCGCTCGAGATAGCTAGCTCCATGCCCCAACCAACCAACCAACCAACATAAAAACAGAAACTCCAATGATCATCGTGTTCACTACAAGGACTCTGTTGACCCTGCAAATATTTGAACTCCTTTGCCGGGGCCGCTTGTGGTTCTGGCCCGCAGTGCAAACAGCCGGCTCGCGGTCGATACAGGATTTTGCCGTTCTTCTTCCCCGAGATGAAAGTTGCCGCCTATTTCTCTCATTTGATCCCACTTTTTTTCCCCAGCTCCTTTGAATCAAGCGACTGTTCCCCCTCAACCTTGCCCTGATATGTTCCCGGGACGACCTTGGAATCCTGGCATTGACTTTGGGTGTCGTAATTATATTCCTGGTTTTTCTTTTCTTTCATAGGCCTATACGCGCGCCTGATTAACACGTGCGGCTACTGAACATTAGTATCCCGGACGAAACCCCCCCCCCCAAAAAAAAACATAATTGTCATCAGTTTTGGCTACCCAACCTCAATATAAATGTAATAGTACATGCACCGCAGGCCTTTGTGTTCATTTTGTCCGTTTTTAGTCCTTTTTTTTTACCTGTACATTGTCCATCTAAAATAGTTATTTTGATCATGGAGGAATACTGTTGGGCATCATGTGTAAATTCAGTATTTTTACCAGATTTTTCAAATACCATTTCACTGGCATGTATATTTTTTCCCATTAAAAACGATCGATCCCTTCAAATTTCGATGGCCCATAAACATGTCAAATGCATGCGCAAACATTCGTATAATTACCCAATGGACATGTAATGGCGATACTTAACAAAAATATTAATGTGTATGTTACGTCGACTGTCTTTCTCGTGTTTTTTTATTTCAATATATTTTTTTGTATTTATAAAGATAAAGCTCACCGACAAAAGTGTTCGCATTGACGCCTTTGTAGGGCTAACATTGTCCAGGATCAAATCTGACAGAAGTTAGAACTCTGCTCCGGTCATGTATGTCGAGTCCACCTCATCTGAGTCCGAGCCGAGTCCACGAAAGCTCGAGATCGAGCCAAGTCCGAGTCCACAAAGGCTCGAATTCGAGCTAAGTCCGAGTCCATGTTTGTCCGAGTCCGGCTCAAATCCGAGTCCAAATTGTCAAGTCCGCGCTTAGTCCGCTCTTAGTCCGCGCTAAGAGCGAGTCCAGTTGCGAAAGAGTTTTTTATAGCAGAACACGTGCGCGCACCAGTGCACTGAGAATTCAATGTTTGTTCAGTGACTGTCGAATCGGTCTCTTACGATTTTTTTGCAACTTGGTAAGGTATCAGAAAGACTTTTTCCCAGGCAAGAGATAAAGGGGTCAGACAACAGACGCGGGACCGTGTTTAAAAACAATTTTAACTTGTTTTCCTCTTAAGTTTAAAAACAGGTTTTTTTTATGAACTCGATTCGAGTCCGACAGGTTATAGTCCGAGTCGGCAACTCGCCAAGTCTGATCCAAGTCGAGAAAAGGCCACGAGTCCGAGCCGAGTCACGAGTCCAAAAAAAGTGGACTCGGGAGTGCGAGTCCGGACTTGAGTCATTACTGACACAGTGACACTGCCAAATAATACTTGAAAGAATACGAAATGTACTTTTATGCAATGTGATGTTTCTCTTCAGGTAACACAATTTTGTAACAACAACAAATTAATAATGTAAACCAAGACATCACATGCGCCCGTTATTTGGTGGTGGAATTCATAATTGTGTTTCTTAATCCTGTCCGTCCAAAAAAAAAACACATTCACAACAATGTTAATTTCCGTACATAAGGCATTGAGTGCTTTTTTATCAACAATATTTCCTTACAAATGATCTTGCTTGTACACGGCGTACGATATGCATTTTCCCGTATTTCCTTGTTGACCTTTTTTCTACTATGACTTTTTAAAAACATTTACATTAAAGGCCAAAGCATTATAACTACTGTACATAACTGTTAAAAATGGTTTGACAATAAACATTGTGTGTACTCTTCTTTATCATCGACTCCAATAAATATACGTAACTATTAACAGACTGCGCTAAAATATACAAGGAGTGGACTTTGCGTACAATATACATCTTGGTGCTAGCCCAAAAATAGACGTTAAAATTGCTAAATGGAACCAAAATCATTGAGTTCTTTCATGTACAGTACAATTATTATACAGCAAAGCATTTTAATATTGCATGCAATTCAATCACAGCAAACGCTCCCCACTTATTGTCTCTTGCACATTAATAAACTGTATCTCAAAGGGAATTAATCTTGTGTTTCAAGATTTTATTTTTCGCGCCTCGTCGCTAATTCCTGTCGTACCCTCTAGAGAAATTGTACTTGGAATAAAAGAAAACAAATTTACCCAAAAGTATAATTTAAAAAATATATATCATGGCTCAGAACTATAATGCTATTATGCATATTCGATACAAAAGTTATTATGCCTATATCCGTCGACAGTGTTTGAAAAGCTCTCGGCTCCTTCCCTTAAATTCCCAATTGAAGATTAAAAAAAAGCAGGAGCATTTGCTCCCAACTCGATCCTATTTACTGTTGTGTTTCTGCTTTTGAACATTTTTTTTTACACTGTAAAAGATATTAAAACGCTTTAAAAGTTAATCAAAATTTCTATATTTTCCTTTCAGAATGGCAGGACATTTAGATGGACCTTAAGTCTTATTGTTTCCCCTAGAAGATGACTGTCATCACACAGGTCAGTTGTTTTCAGTTTATGTTTTTGTCGAGTTGTAATTCCTTTAAAACAAAAAATATTGATCATAACGATGAATTAACTTGATCTCCGTAAAAAAGACTAGTGATTTTCTGATGCGGATAACATTGTTCTTCGAAGTTAAAGAAAGCTTTCATATTGCATGAAGACAGGGCAGTTTTCATTTCATGTTATGCATGGCGGGCATGGCGTGAAGGAGCGAGGCGGTGGCCGTCGCGTGGGCCGTCTGAAGGTGGCATCCTCCGGTACCACCCAGCTGCATCTGCACCGCTGCGTTCAGGACCATCTCCGGCGGTGGGTGCGTGGTGTTGTGTAAGCAAGGGTTGGCGGTGCGGACAATCTCCAGCACCTCGGGCGTGCTGACCGGGGTCCGTTCCCCCGTCTCGACCGGGTCCAACTCCTCCTTGGTCGCCGCCTCTTTCTTGATGTCCGGCCCTCCTCTGTCCGCTTCCACTGCGCCGTCCGGGGAGGCGTCCAGCCGGGTCTGGTCGGCCGTGGTCTCGCCGCTCAGGGCCGCCCGCTTCTTGCTCTGTTTGCGCTCCTTGGCTCGCCGGTTCTGGAACCAGATCTTGACCTGTAGTTGATATTTGAGAATGTTTGTGTCGTGAGCAAAGAACTTCAAAGAGTGAAAACTTACTGTATTTTGGTAGAAATTTCCTCCCACCGACTGATACAGGCACCAGACGTTTAATATAGTGAAATTCAATCCATTGATTAGATCGAATGTTTCTATTGCAATGGTTCTTCTTTAATTCCTTCAAACAGTATTACAATCTAAAACTAAAGCGGTTTTCTAAGTTAGGGAAATAAGATAAGCAAAGTTTTGATTGTATATATAAAAAGAGCGAATGGCGGAGGTGATGCCGTCGAATTGAATACATGTACACAATGTACATGCATCATAGGAGAGTAGAAATATAGAAGTATGAGACTACATGTACATCCTCCTTTTTAATTATTCAGTCACAATATCGATAATATTTTGGGGTTTTATTTTATACATGACATCAGAGAGAGCTTACCGGTAATATGAAAGTTTGGGTGACCCATTTCCCCTCACTAAAGTTGGCATTATATTTTGTTTTTGGTTTTAACAGAAATTACCATTTTTGCCTGCATGTATCGTTTAACAACCATGAACATGATTCGGCATTGAGGGCGCTAGTGCCATTTTACTGTTTCACTTGCCCGGAGAAAGTATTGTATTTTCACAAGTCGAAAGAGGGATTTAGATAACATAATTTGCCGATCTTCGAAATATAAAGACTTACTAAAAGTGTACTTGAAATTTATAATAGTGCATATTTTGAGTGGCCAAGTGTCGGTAAAAAAAACCAAGAAAAATCTGTCTTTGTCTACTCTCAGGCGCGGTCAATCCTCCCAGCTCCGTCAAAATGATTTGTTTTCATAGAAATTCATAAAAAAATAATGCGGACCCCCCCCCCCCCCGACACCAAAAAATATACATTGCACTGGTAATAATGTCCGCCTGTGCACAAAATACGGACAGAACCAGTAGTTTGGCTTCTTGCACCAGAGTTGGTTTAATAATACTGCATGAAGCAGTACACTTTTGCCAATTTCTTCCCAGAAATGTGTATAATCAACAATTTAGGTAACGTGATATCAATCATGCGTATGGGGAGGAATAAGATGGACTGTTTCTTATTCCATATTTTACAATAGAGCCCCTTATTTCCCGGTGTTTTCTTGCTGCTCACCTGTCTCTCGGATAGTCCCAGTGACACTGCGAGCTCCGCCTTGCGTCTGATGGTGATGTACCGACTGTAGATGAATTCCTTCTCCAGCTCAAGCCTCTGATGATCCGAGTACACCACACGGTACTTATCTTTAGTCCGAGTTTTACCTGTATGACAAAAAAAGGTAAAATTGTGATTAAAAAAAATCATCAATGTGTGCCGTGAATACCCTTGTCACTTTTCCATTTCTGTCGAGGTTAGGCCTTTAATTAATCGGCACGGCCGTAGTCCGATTTTTAAATTGCCAACTGAAAATACTTATTTCCATTGTTCAAAGACGGTTCCAAATAATAATGCTATCTGCGAGTCATTTATTTTCGTGCAAATTACCGCCTGTGATGAAATATTACACTCGCAACTTTTAATCAAAAAATAAAATGTGACCAAAAAATAGTCGTCTTTTTTTTATACCACGTCATTTTTTTTTACACCGTGCCGGTGCCGTGTATGAAATAGAAAGATTTGTTAACCGTCCTTTTTGTAACCGAATGGGTTCCGGGAAGGCAATTTATTCCGCCGATGTCGGGGGAACTTCCCCCCGAATCATCGGCGCGATTTGAAATTTACGATGTCCAGCTTCCGCCGTTGCCGATGAGCGGAGGCACTCGGGGCAGAGGCGGGGAGCGAGGAGCGCGCGGGCCCCGTGTGGTCGAAGGACGAACGCGGTGCTAGCCCGCGGTGCAACGGCAAACTACATGTATAGAGTAATTTACTACTGTCACGCGGTTGAAATCCACACAAATCTCCGTGCATTGCGTTGTGGATTCAGTTACATGCTTTACATTTTTTTCAAAAATTTCAACTTTATTAAAATAAAAATGATTGAATGTCTTTAAAAATTTGGCATCATTGTGTAAGCCTCTATTGTTTGCATTTTCCGAGTGCGTCTTATGAAAAATTTGCATTTCTGGAAAACCACGCACCACAGCCTAGCATTATATTTTTGAGTTTCTAAGATGCTTTGGTTGTCGAGGAGTCATGCAATATTACTCAAGCGGCACCGACTTATGAATGTTCGTTAATCAAACTGTAAAAGGTGAGAAACGTGGAGTTATAGATTGTATGGATTGCTATGGTAATACAGAGAACACTAATCAATCATTTTGCAGCTGCGTGAATGATCGTGATGAATGAGAAACGATTACCTATAGTCAAAAAATCAAGCAAACCAAGATACATTTATTGAAAAACTACTGACAACGCAACCTACATGACTACATGTATACTGAGCTGATAGCGAAATCATTAGCGTTTATAAAACATAACAAAGTTTAACGTTTATTCAAAATTTCTTTTTTTTGCACAACCTCTGCAAATCCGAATCATATGATCTGAAATCGCCATTAAAATATAATACATGTCAAATTTATAGGGTGCTAGTGTAATGGATTATTCTAGTTCTTTAATGTATAAGACACTTCACTAAATGACAAGGTTCGTATTTTCCTCTTATAGGTATACATCTTACCGATAGCTTTTGTTTAAACATCTTACCGGTAGCTTTTGTTTTCATTGTGTATAGAATTGTCAACAATTAACAAACTGGGTGAATCAGATTTCTCATTTTTTTTCAGACGAAAACCATTTTTATCTTCCACACACAGTGACAGTGGTACGATGTAAATATATGGATTCATTTTTTAGCTGGCCTGCACTTTGTGATAATAACACCTTAAATATATCATCGAGTACAAACCATTTTTTCATGAATTCCAGACCGGAATATAATTTTAAGCATATCGGTCCATGTTTCTGCGTTAGCGTATTGTGTTCGTCACAATTGATCCTCACGACAAGAGCATCGCAGCCCATGCATACTAACATCAATGTATTCTGCGCATTTCTTTCAGAGCAAAAACCGAATTAGCCGATCGCATTTGCATAATCCAATTTTCCCAAAACTCTTTGTTTCTCAAAGCTGATCAAGAAACAATTCCACTCAAAGATGCTCAGAGAAAAAAAGCCCGTGCAGATTCCCCAGAACTCCACGCAAAACCCACATGAACATCCCCGCTCGTTTCATCTCGCCGCCCTTGAAAATGAAACATCGCTAATCCGGCTTTTCTAAAGGAGGGTTTTGAAAGGACCAGTAGGGGGTTATAGGGATGTTTGGCAAACACAACTTTTATAGAAGTTGGGTGACTGTATTGAATCTATTGTCCCGTAATCCGGTAATTCTATTGTAACGCGCTGCTGGAACATTTCCGTGGTAATTGATACCCGACCGTGAGTCATATGTCAGCTCGACCGAGAACTCCCCCGTACAGGTCCCTCCCTCAGGCCCAGGTGGTCAGGCAGTGACCGCGAACGGGTCGTTAAAATTGGGACAAAGTTTGCCGAAATCTTGACGTTTTTGCGATAAAATTCAGCCAGAGGTGTGAGGCAAACATCAACAACTGATAAGCGAATAGCGATCGGAAGTCCGGCCCGAACGGCGCGAGTTTGTCAACGCATTGGAAGTCTCACGAAATTGAATTAGAAAAAGTGGTACATGAACTACGATTTGCAGCAAAACATCCTATAAAACTGGGGGAATAAAAGAAAGGCTGAAAACTGTCGTCTAAGTACGGCGCGAGTTTTCGAACGCACTAATTTAACCAGTATGTTTTCTCGACAGAAATTCCCCCAACAAAAAAAACACGAATTTTAATAACACACTTTAAAAAGAAGGTGCTGTTCCAAAGATGGAAATACTGATATTCAACTTATACATTTGTCCCTTTCTTCAGTATACTTCAAGACGGAAAACCCGTTTTGAAATCCACAGATCATAACAAATTGAAAAATTAGAAAACTTCTGTTATCGACATGTTCATTGATCCTCCGAACAGTCTGGTCAACAACAAAAAAACATTTAGCTTTCACCGTAGATTATTTTCTGCCATTGATTGAAAAACACGCGTGACAAACCACATTTTATTGTGTGTGGAATGGAAAAAGGACTTGATGAAATGGGTTTTCATTTTAAAGAAAATCATCCCAAACTCATGTCCAAATCAATAAGATGCTTCTCAGAAAATCATAAGCAGTGAATCACACCCTTACCTGTGGAAACAATTATTCCTGGCGCTGATTATGTTGATATAAGAAAAACAGTAAGCATGCATCGAACATCCTTTATAAGATAATAGTCGCATGTAGGAAAAAGGCCACCAATCACTTCAGTACCATTTCGCCAACTGATTATATCTCGCGTGGCACAACAATTTTATACAAGTTTTGTCACTTTCAGTTTACCATCCCCATATATACGATCCCTTTGCATATCCTCTGAATTTTATTCACTTATTGCCTCTTGTGGGTTGCGTCCGAGAAGCAATAGCGTGCAATAAAAGCGCGCGGAGTGTCACACCACCACAGACAAAATTACAACCAAAAGAAGTTGTAAAACTGTAAACCAGCCGAATCCAGCGAGATCCCCTCTGTTATTTTGGCTTTTATTTGACTCAAATTGGACTTGTAAAAAATAAAACTCCATGGACGAGTTAATTCTTTTACAGCATCTGGTGGGTAAATTTTAAGTGTTAAATTGGATCAATTTGTGTTTATAGCTTGGAATAGCGGTAATCCAATTGGGTTTTGATGGTTTGGTAAGCGGTTTATAAGTGTGCAAAGATATCCTTTAATGTCACTTACAAAATTTACAACAAGATAGCACAATACCGGTTTTTTTGTGTGTGATTTCCCTGAATCCGATTGGACAAACGTGGACAGCGAGTTTTCTTTGAAATTGTTGCACGCCGGTCGGTGACACGGGCTTCTTATGAGCCACGGAAGTGAAAAACACGAGACAACTTTTGAAAAGATGAATGGAAAATTAATGTTGAAGAATATTATAAAGTAGCAGAAAAGCCTTTGACTTTCTCGAATTTCCCACGACAACTTGGCATAGTATACTTGCTCTGATATTACAGTGAAGAACTAAATTTGCGAGTCCTGCAGAGCCCCCCCCCCAAAAAAAAATTTAATAATAAAAATACAACTGAATTACTTTAAAAATAAAAATACAACATAAAAATAAAAACCAGAGTCATATGCTGGACTAAACAATAAGCTGATAAATGTGTTACTTTTCTTACTTAAATACAGAGTCATTTTTTAAAAAAAGAAGTCAATTTGAACAGCCTAGACAGAACAAAAAATGAACTAATGATAAATTGATTGTCTAATATCAGATAAGTTATCAGAAGGAGATAATGAACTTTGAAAAAATTACTTACATAAATTTGTAAACAAATATAATTTTGTTCCTAATTTCGTCATTTTAATAATTCACAACTTTGTTATACGAACCTGTTTGAGGATTGACCCGGTACGAAGTGGACCTCATCCAATCGTGGTAAGGCGAGCGCATCGCCGGCCGGTGGAGGGCCTGAGAGACGCTATTGACGGCGGTCTGCTGGCCGAAGCCCTGGTAGTAGTCCAGATCCTCGGAGTTGTACGGTGAACTGCTCATAGGTCCGGCCGGTGTTTGGCCGGGGAAGGCGCCGGCACCGAACGGGTCTTGGGACGCCGTGGCCCAGTCCACGGCGGTTGGGAAGCCCGCCGAGGCCCAGGAAGAGTTGGTGGTCGGGACCGACTGTTGCTGCTGGGCATCCAGGCTGCTCGAGACCTGATACGAGCCGGTTGCTGACGGGGAATACTCGGACGGGTACTGGCTGGTCGGAGTCTGGCTGTAGTTGAAAGAGGAGTAGGCCTGTGCCGCTGGATTCGGGTGCCGGTACATGGTTCCTTCTTGCTGGTAGTGGTGGGGTTGGGGCATTAGGAACTCTAGAGTCATGACTGACTGAAACTAGACAAACTAACCCAAAATGATATCAACCTGAAGGTTTGTTAGCTCGGGAGGCGTTGCTCCTCCACCCAGGGACCTCTCTTTGCTCCCGCTCAAAGGCTAGATATTGGTCGATACTTGGCCCACCACTTATGAATTTAACGACGGGAAATAAAACTGGTGTTGCCTTCGGTGCGAAATGACAAGTGGTTGATATACGGTTTATTGACAGAGTGATCTCAGACTGAGCACGATATGCACACCTGCAGGAGGAGATAAAATAAAATGGCAAAGATCCCAAAGTTTGAAAACCCCGGTCACGGTTGGTCCTGGAGTTTTTATAGCCGAGGAAAAAAAGGAACAAGAAAAAAAGGGCATCATTTGATGTCAGAGTCAAGGATAATGCCTGGCATCTCGCACCTTTTAACCCTCTCCCCCAAACGGGTGCACCCTTCCCCCTAACCAATTTGCATAAGAACGGATAGAGACGGTAGATCAAAAGGTTCCCCGGGCGGCCGCCCTGTGATGCGGTCAGCGCTAAACAATTAGATTCCCAATCAATGGGATTGAGGTGTAATTGGCCGGTAGAGGTTTCTGGCTAGCTACACACCACGGCGTGATCTCCACAACTCGGTACCCCTTGATACAAAACAAACCGCAATGAACAATCACATTACGTAAAAGCCCATGCCTGTCCCCCCCCCCCCCACCTCACCCCTACCTAAAAAAAAAAAGCCCAAACCAACAGCTTATCAAAATGCAAACGAATTCTGCATTTTTCAAACTCCAAAGGAAAACTTTTGAAATTCTGTTGCCTCGAACATGTACCCTGAAGTTACTTAGTTGTGACCGTATAGAAGCTGCGTCGATTAATAGTTAAAGGCAGGGGTGACGGGGGGAAAAAAATGGAGAGAAAAAAAGTACCGGAGAAGAATTTTACGACTTGTCAAGATGAGCTTGAGCAACGGGCTAGTGTTTGCGTTGCCACACGGCGGGCTGGGTTTGAAGAGGTTTTCGCTGTGTTGTGACGGCCCTAAAATAGACCAATGTCGCACACATGCAAAGCATTCTTGTCAGTGTACAAAAAACGATTCTTATCTCGTTCTGTCAGTGTACAAAAAACGATTCTTATCTCGTTCTGTCAGTGTACAAAAAACGATTCTTATCTCGTTCTGGGATTTTGATTATTTTTTTTTTACGAGCGATTGTTTTGTCCACGAGAAGCATGCAATGAAGGCCGAAAGGTGTGACCCGTATGTTTTAACGCGGATGGTTAAAGAGACTTTCCGATGGCTGGTTCTCAGTGCTTTGGGATTTGAAGTAGGCCCTACGCGAACCCTGACGATAGTTCGGTTTTCATACGAACCCTGACGATAGTTCGGTTTTCATACGAACCCTGACGATAGTTCGGTTTTCATACGAACCCTGACGATAGTTCGGTTTTCGGCGTGGCAGAGTGATGAAGCCTTCCCGTCCATCGGTCATCCAGGCATGGTCGTGGGAAACACAGACATGAAAATGAAAAAAAGACAAGAGCACAGAAAAGATCCCAGAGCACACATAATTCTATTTAACTGATTCAGAATGACTTCACCGAAAGTCTTTCCATACATCTGGTGTACACAATGGGCCAGATCAGCCAATAATGGCTACCTATACGATTGCACAGCCCAGCTATCTTCACCTATAACAACTGGGCTAATTCACTCTCGAGTCAGTAAGAGAGTCAGTCAGTCATCTGGGTACAAAGATGACACTGACGTACTGAGTAGCGTACTCAACAATTTGAAATGTACATTAATTGTTGGTTTTTTTGGTTAATTAAAACTTAATAGTCAATACTGGACGCGAACAATTTTAGAATGAAGTCAGTTTAGGTGTTTTTTAATGACAAATTTCCAATAGGCAGCTAAGACCATGCTCTGAATACCAGGTCATTGTATGAAGCTTAGGATCTTTCATTTGTTTTAACTTCAAGAGAAAATTAGGGCCCGTGATTTCAAGCCCCATGTATTTTGAAATGCGTCTGTTGTTTTCGTATTTTTGCGTAGCATGTACATTGTACATGCTTTTTTAATCCTAAAAGGATTTTTGTTGTTGCTTAAAATTATCCCTGTTTCTGTGTACTGACCCTTCCTTTTTAATGAGCTTGTTACATTTTTCCATACCTAACCCCCCCCCCCCCCCTCAACCCAGCCTTTCTTTATGCCCTACCCAGCCCCATGAACCCTCGTCCGAATCCCCAATTCTGCGGTATTTCTCCGCCGCCCGACCCTGTTGCCCTATACTTCCTTACCTCATCTCCAAATTCTACTTCACCCCGTCTGTCTTCTTAACCCATTGCCCCTTCCTCACCCATTCATCACCCACCGTAAATGCCCCCACCCCTCCCTCCTCCCTGCACAGTTCACCGTCGATTTTTGTTGTCTTCAAGTTGCCTTTTCTTAACCTTGTCATAAGGCCTCCCTTCTCCAGAGCTTTATTTTCTCAAAACATGCGATATTCTCAAGTAGGCTGTTGTCATTGAACAGCGCCCTCTGTTGACATCGAACTTTCGTCCAATCAAATTGGGTATCAGCGAAAACAATCGTCGACAGTGTAGTGTGCCAAGACATTTTGAAGGGAAATAGCGCCCTCTTTCCCTCACAGAAGTACATTTTTGGAATTAACTGCTAGTCGGTTAAGGTTGCGTTGGTGTTGCACGCTACACGTTGGCCACTGTGAAATGACCTCGGTACAGGGTCAAAATAATATGCAATTTGTTATTGTCCACCCGGCGTTTAAATATTGAATAAAGTCAACGGTGTTCGTTTTAATCAGTATTTATCAGTTTCCATAATGGTCAGCCTGCTACAACGATCTTTGGCAAAGTTTTGTTAGTGTCTTGAATATTTCATTGATCTAGAACAGCCACGCGTCCGGTCTATAATAATGAGTTTTTACTTCATATACACAACGTTGCATAAAAATTACCTCATGTACACCGCGTTGCATATGATTATACACCTGATGGTCTATTGTTAAATATAAATCCTTGCATGACAGGCTCCTAACTCAGTGGGAATGGTGACAAAGTTCAGAACATTTCTAAACTGTTTCAAAAATATTCTTGCAATCGAAAGTACAGTGTTTTAATTGAAATAAGTAAACATGTACAAGTATATAATACATTCATACTCACATTTAATATACAAATTCAAATTTTACTCTGAATTTATGCATATAAGTTCTTAACGGACAAAAATAAGGCGACAAAAGTTATGTAAGCTAGGTTTACTTCGAGTGTTTTGTAAAGGATTTACCACTAACAATATTAAAATGAATATAAGGATTATGAATTTTAGGGGAATTCTATTGTTGATTTCCCATACCCAGGCTGTAGCGGATCTAGGGGGAGGTAACACCCCACTGATGTTATTAAACTTGTACAATGGGACCAACAATAATAAATGGAATGCTAAAGTTCCTTAATTTATTTTTCATGTGCCTTAGAATGCAGGATAAATCATCGTAGATTTCAAAGTCTTCCCGCGCCTGATAACAACTCAGACAATAGGATTAATACACATCATATCTCGCGCGTAACACAACATGCAAACAATAACTTAGAAAAACAAAATATAATACATAGTATGATTATGGTTTTTATTCAAAGATACAGTTTTCTTCCATTATCTTCATCCATTGTATTATTTCCAGGCAAACTATAGACCTAGCAACTTTATGACAAAACTATGAGTTGGTTCCTATTTTACAGTTCCCCTTTGCGCATGGGCGTATGACCACTGGTCCCTCTGTACTTGCTGCCATGTTCATGTGAAGGTGTGTCTCCAACATCCCGGACCTTGTCTTCCTCAAACTTGTTCAAAATCTCCTGCAGAATAGCAAATAAGCAGATTATAAGTGCAATATACAAAACAAAACAAGACAAGCAAAGAAAAGCTGGTCCCATAGTGCACACATATGACTAACAAAAGTTTATAGAATAATCTGTAGTGGTCACGTGATGGCAATGAAAAATCCATGTGGAGACTTGATTATTGCATATAATAAGTACACGTGTATCATGAAAGTACATACATAAAAATCGGCGCCAGACTAATGCACATGATATGAATGTGTAGATTCCACATATACGCGACTCGTAAAGGTGCTCCGGACCAGGGTAAGTCACAAGCATATAGGTAACCAATCAAATTCACAGGTGACAGCCAGCCAACCTGCCTGCCTGCCTGCCTGTCAGGCACAAAGAGAACACTTAGCTGGCTCTTTATCGGAAACACAAAAAGTAAAATTGACAATTTATTATGAATTCCCTTTTCAGGAGCCGTGATCTTGAGCCATACCTGCACTTGTTTAGAAATCTGACCGTCAGCGATGTCGCATAGGATCATCATCTTCTGCCCAAGATTGATGAAAAAGGTGTCGAACTGTGAGAAATGATCAAAAGATGAAGAAAATGGTGAGTTCCTTCCTCAAAATGTCTCTGATAATCCGACAGGAAAAGACTTAATCACTTAGCTTAAATGACATTGTAGAATATTAGATATGAAAGTTCCAATCGGAGTTTTTTTTGTATGAACATTGTGCTTGTCCAGGGTCAAGGGAGGAAACACGGGCGGAGGGGGATGACAAATTTGCCGACAAAACATCCGTGCTGCGGGGAGGTATAGCCGGGCCAGTGAATCTTTCTAGCCAGCTGATCGCTGACAAAGTGTCGGAGGTTAGCGTAGGTTTACATATCTCAGAGAGAATGAATTAGAGTATACCTTGTTGATCTTTATGGGAAACGTGTCCATATCCTGTGATGTAATCTCACCATTGCCATCAGTATCGAGCATTTGGAACATCTGCCGCACGCGGTGAATAGCATGAACAAAAAAAAACAATATTAAAACACGTTAATGAAAAAATTAAACAAATCAAAAGAATAGAGAATAGAAACATTTCTTGTTCCATTATACGAATGAGCAAAAAAACAACAACAACGAACAAAAATACAAAAACAAACAAAAGCAAAACATAAAAAAACAACCTTCCATGACCATCCCTATGTACTTTTTTTTACAAGAAATTACCCTGTAAAAAATTACTTGCAGTTTTCATTATAAACACAAGACTTGTTGACAACACAACTAGACAGATTTTAAGAATGCAAGATTGATATACCTGGTGAGCAACATGCAAAGCTTCCTCCGTCCAGATCTCACCCTCCGGTCCTGACAGCATCTAGATTCGGAAACCGAGAGTAAACTAAGTTTTAGAAAAAGGGAATAACTAAAGGAAGTAAACTTCACCAAAAGCCGAGGGTCTTCAATATCTCTTTTATACAGATTTCCTAACGCGAATAATTATACGTTTTTTTTATCACTTAAAGGCACATAGGATCACTTTTGTTTATCCCAAAAGCATCCTATCGAATTATTTTCATTTGGGATGAAAAATCGCAATGGTACTAAACACTCCGTGATATTATTTCACTTGGTTTGATGTCATTCAGAAGAAATCAAGAAATGTAGGTGATTCCAACGATCGGTAAATTGACTGATTTGTGGAAATACAGAGTGTTATGGACGAAATAATCTTTCGTAATCAAAAGGTTGTGCGTGGTTTTCTTTCTTTCTCGAAAAGTGTAATGCCATAACCCATAGAGCTGAAACTTAAACAGGTTAAATTTTGGAAATTCTTCTTTTGAGTTGGTGTTATTATTGGAACGAACAAAATGCATGAAAAGCAATTGGTCATAAAGATGCTTATTATTATGTGTGTTCAGCAGTCTCTCGGTTGCTACTAAACGGTATATTAGATTGACTGAAACTTTGAACAAGCATCGACAGTTTTTGTGTTCCTGTTACCATGTCCATGAATTCCAAAAATTGCTGCTCTGTCAGCGATTCCGTCTCCTCCTCGTCCATAAATGCCCTCAAACTTGCTCTGCAACAGCAATATAACAAAATACAACTTCGGAAAATGTGTAATCGTCACCGTTTCCAAGATATTCCGTTAATAAAAGGTGAGTATTTCCAGCTATATTTTGGAGGAACTATACTATAGGCAATGAAACTTACGACGGGTTCCTGACGAAATCCACTTCTGGGTGGAGATCCCTCAGAAAGTCTATGCCGGTGTCCGTCTGGTCGTGGTACGGGAATCTGACATCGGCCAGCGAGATATCGAGCCCCGGGTCCGGCATGCCGCAGGACTCCGGGGAGGGCACGACGTATGCCTGGTGATTCCACCAAATGTTGACTGCAACGTTACTGCCGAAGGAATTCACCTGATGAATCCTGAATCAGTGATTGAAGACACACCACAGAATTCACATCGGACGATATATGCAATACTTGGAAAAGTTGAATTTGCTCTGTCTGTGCAATTGCCAAGTTCACCCCACATAATTGTTTTATTGCTAATTATTCTAGCAATACAAAAGATTACTACATGTATTCACTTTTGATGGGACATTCATCGAAAAAAAATAATCAGGCTGATCTCAATGTGGGCTGTAGGCGCAAAGGCAACCAGAAATAATGTTTAGATTGTTCTGATTTGTAAACACAAAAAAAAATAGATATAAAGACTTTTATCATTGTGACATTCCGACGGAAGCGGGAAGTTCTTGTCTTGGCAAATGGAGTAAGAAATTCGAAGCTCATGCTACATTTGCGGCGCTGTCTGGCATTTATGTCCTTTCCAAGGAATGTCATGGAAGTAGAGTGGGGTGGGTTGGGGAGTACGATGGGGAATGCCTTAGTTGGGCGGGAGGGGGTGGAATATATCCCTCGTACCGGCGCCGTCCGCGTGCAGTGAGTAAAAAGTATAATCCCAAGCACTAATTTTGGAACCACATTAAAGTTGCGTTCCCCGTGTTCTTCGACAATATTTTTTTCTTTCTATTAATACAATTTCAACTTGTATGTTTCATTCCAACCTAAACCCCACTCGCCCCCCCCCCCTTTTTGAACGTCTTCAAAATAAAAGGGTTTGCTTTGGGCACAGATCCGCTTTGCGAGCAGACTGGCTCCCGGTCCGTACATTATCGACAGTGATTGTGGGGCGGGAACCAGCCTACCCCGCGAAAACGAAACTATACTGTCTGGCAACAAGTTGTAAAGTAATAATTCATTAACTAAAATGGGCCTGAATTTTTCGGTCGATGTCTCAATTTAATGTGAATGACTTCTGTACTACCCCCCCCCCCGAAAGAAAAATAGCAATTTAGAAAAGGAATCTATTTTGGGGATGAAACTGGAAAACAGCACGGGGCATGGGCGTCGCGAGGGGGGGGGAGGGGCAAGGGGGGGGTGCTTGCTGGAAAAAATAGGGATTTGGGGGAAAACATTTGCTTTGCCCCCCTCCTCTGGCGACGGGATGCATCATTCATACTAAAGTGATGACAATGATAATTCGGGACACGGGAAAATATGCACTTCCAAAGTTCAGAGACACTTATGCACGCGGAAAAAGCTTGACATGTAACATCAATGTAATAGTATTTCCTCAAAAAAGTGAAAGTAGATCAGGGTAAACACAATAGCGTGTGAATGTCCGGGACGTCCGGACGCACGCGGGACCGTGTGAAACAACTTCGACCAACTTAATGTTGTATAATGCTCGAGAAACAAGGGAAGGTCCCAATCTTCTCCAGAAGTGATTCTTCAATCTGCATACAATTGCCAATCGGGAAAGGAAAGAGTGGGCCTGCAGAAAATCAATGTTTTCCAATTATATTTTTCTTTCTTCTTTCCTTATTTGTCTTGATTGTTTTGTTGACACGCGTCCAACCGTTAGTTTATTTACCGATCTTTTGGGACAGCTTTGGGACTTTCCCTCTACCTGGCTTTTTTAGGTCCCTGTGAAATATCCGGCATAATGACTTATTTCCTTGTAGAAAAAAAAAAGATGTTTATTTTATTCAGCTGAAGGCTCACAAATGCTGCACATTTTTGTTTCGTGAAATTTGGGGACAAGACCGGGTCCAATATTGCGGGCGAGGGGGCGTGCCAATAATTGGGGGGGGGGGCATTTAAGGGGGTGGTTAATTTCTGGAGGAGCACTCAATTGTTTTAAAAAGAAATGTCATTTTGGCCCCAAGCTCTGAGGGGATCAGAATTCGAGCTGTGGGGAGGAAAAGCCACTACAGAAGTGGAACTGAGTGGTGGATTTTGTCGCAACTTCGTTTCTTGAACTTTGAAAAGTCTGTTCCTTGCTCTATGGTTAAAGAATCAAATCTGGAAACATGCTATATTGTTTTTGGTTTAAAAAAAAAGACGATTGGAAACATGTTTAAACTTGGAAAAGTTGATCACTGCTTATTAAATCTGAAACTTGTTTTGTGATAAAGATGACTTGTCGTTTTAAGGTTAAACTTTTATATCTGCATGCGCTCTTCAACAAATTCTCTTTTTACTGACGAATTTTCAATTAAGGTCATTTCAACGAGCTGGAAAACTTGGTATCCATTTTTGGGTGTCTGCAACCTTCTCAAAAGGATTTCTTAATGTGCGCAGAAGCAGATCCGCCTTGCAAGTAGACTGGTCCCTGGTCCTTACATTATGGATATCTGTAGGGGCGGGAACGAGTCTACTTGTGAAATTTTGATAGCAATTCCATTAATACGCGTGAGTCGATCTGTTGCATTTGACAACTCATTCAAAAGTAATTAACTTTTGTTTGCTAGCAAAATTTGCAATTTTAAGGCATATCGGATCATTTGTGTTTATCCCAAAAGTAACCTACCAAATTATTCTAATGTTTACTTGGATTAAAGGTCGTATTGGTATAAACACCCCATGAAATTATTCCATCTGGCTGCTGTCATTGAGAAGAAATCAACAAATGTAGGTGATTTCCAACTTTGACCGATTTTTGGAAATAAAGAATGTAATAACGAAATCGTGAGGAGTTGTTTATGGGTTTTTTACTGCTCGAGAAGTATAATATCCACTGAGCTGACCCTTCAACAGTTCAGGTTTTGAACATTCTTTGGATTCTGAGTGGTGTTTTTATTAAAAACGAACAGAATCCATGAAAAGCCTATGTGCATTAAAAAGAAGAGATCACAGACAGAATATATTTAATATGCCATGACTATAGTTCTGACCATTTGAAAGGTAGGTAGATGCAGTCGCCAGCTTGCAGTTTCGCTTCATAGAACTCCAGGTTCCTCAGTTCAGGGAACTTGTTCAAGTCGACTCGTTCCACGTCTACACTCGAGTAGAAGCCTTCTGGATGATCGTAAATAATCTAAACAATGGAACGTGAAACAATGACCTTATTTTTACCTAGAGATTTTTTGGGGTAATTCAAGAACAATACAAGGCAAGAAAGATATGATGAATCTGAGTTGCTGATCTCTCTATTAATGCCGTTTGCTTACCTGTTCTCTGTAGCGCGTGTAGTTGACGAGGAGGAAGTCTTTCTGGCCCCTGAACAGACAGTTGATAATGTCAACATAGTCGGTGTGTACGTGGGACTTGGTACCTCCGCTACTAAACCAGAGCATCTGTCCACAAGAAAAGGGAAAGAAAATGTCGGCTGACAGGTTAGGCAAGTTGCGGTTGGATATATTGATTTATTGAAAATGAACAATGAAATTGACTGGAGTTGAGCTTGCAGATGAACCACAAATGAACCACAAAATGGAAACTGACTAGTCAGTTTCCTTTTTATGGTTCAATTGAACATTTGCAATTAAAAAGTGAGCTTCCTTTCGTGGTTCATTTGAAAATTTGAAATAATAAAAGCCGTATCCTCTCTGAGTGATCCCCGTTTGGCATTTTGCTGGTGTGATCCCTGTATATGGCTGCATGGCATATGGTTCATGGCTTCTGACTATAACAATAACAGAGCTGGATAGCATCGGAACTTATCTTTATATGGACCAGTCTTCATACTTACTGTTTCCAGCAAATTAGCAGTGACGTTGGTACAGTGCAAAGATGGCGGGATCAGCACATCTTTCCTGAAAAGACCAATATAGCACCAGAGTCACAGTCTACATAACATTCTGCATCCGTTTACGACTCAAATATAGTTGATACAAGTTGCCAATGTCGACAGACATGGCGAATTTAAACCGCCTTCTTGGGCCGCAAAAAAATATCCGAAAATCGCGCAGAAAAAAAGGCAATTGGCTGCTATACACCCCACTCTTGGCAGCTAAACGCCCTCTTGATCTAAATCTAGATCCGCCCCTGACACGGTTGTCGTTACGCGTTGCGATCACACATTGTCATTTATCGTATAACACTCATGACGATCACAAAAACATGAAGAATACGATGAAAGGGGAAATAAGGCAAACGAAGCATTCGGATGACGATGACATTAAAAATACACACCAGTTCAGGGCCCTTCAACCTATGGGCGCTTTATAATTAATGTAAACCGCAAGTTGAGACATGAAAAACAGCTCCAACTTTACTCAAAACTTGACAACTATGGAAGAAAATTATTTTTCGTTGTACATAATAAATGCACTTACTTTAGGAAATCTGGGACTCTTGCAACAAGGTACTCATCGGTGGTTTGGTATCTGTCCAGGAATTCAGCGAAGGGCATATTCATCCTCGGTAACTGTCTTTCCTCAACCTTCCGCATCTCCACTCTGATCAGCTGCTGGGACTCGGGCAAGCTCTTCAGGTACTCGTCGGTCCACTTCTGGAAGGCTGGCGAACGCCTTGCTCCTTGCTTGATGATGACGGGGACGGAAGGGTAGACATAGCTGCGGAAGAACTCGTAAGGGGAAGGGAAGTCCTGGATCACTGAGACGGGGAGACGGGTAGCCTCGGAAGCCAAGGGCTTGAGATGACCTGGTAATGAGGTGGGTGGGGAGGAGGATTGAGCATCCTCGGCAACTGACTGATGTAAGAAGACCATGATGCAGATGATGATGACGGAGATGATCTTAGTAATCTTCATTGTTAAAGTCTTGGAGTTAGCTCAAATGGATGTCACAACAAAGCTCTTGGGACTCTAAATTTCAGTCCCTGGTAAAAGATATTTGCACAGAACAGATTTTTGCGCACACTGCCCGGTCGTAAGTGATAGGTAACGGTCAGAATGTCCCTCGGAGCAACCCTCAACAAAGAGCCGTTACGGGTAGGGCAGGTCCCAGGGGCGTGAGTCTCGGCATGGTCTATACACGTCCAACCCGTGGCCGCCTGCTCCTTCCCGCGTAGAAGGAACCCGGAGCTCTGCAGTTCCCCTCCTCTTCTGTGATTGGCCACGGTTCCCATGACGTCATGCTTTTTGTGGAATTACACTGCATAAACTTTTCTTCAAAAGGTTGTGCTTGAAAATCAGGGTCCACCAAACAGAACAATGCCACACCACATGCCAAAATAAATAAATTAACCTGGAAAAATCATGCAAGGGGCGGAGTTGATCCCCAGAGTGGATATAAAAGTAGCGCACAAGGCAAGTCGACATCACTACCAGGCTTCAGGATGGAACCGAAGACAAGTCTTGTCGTTCCGTTCGTTCTGTGTCTGCTACTCGTTTGTCTTCCAGCATCAGGTAGGTTTAGACTCACACTTTTATATTTCTCTGATGAATGAGAGATGTGGTAATATGGAACACCTCATCGATGTTAGAGCACGCCCGACAGTCCCTCTATGTTACTTAGTAGTCGGTCTCTCTGGCTGGACATCCCAGTGTCTGCTTTCATCAGCCATCAGACAAAAACAAGCTTGCTCATGTTGTCTTAAAACAACCCTCTCGATACATAGCTTGGCACTGCCTGTATCCTCAACTGCACACGAACTGTACTATTATGGTCCAATGGCAGTTTGCTGACGGTTGCACACTAATCTAGAGCGGCTATTGAGCTGCATGAATCGTACGCGCTTGAAGTTGCGCTCGAATTATTTTGTGAATGGCTACATTAACTGTCACGGTCGAAGATTACGATCGTGGATTGTGTGATTGAATTTCCCTCTTATTTTCTCTACTCTTTCAGATGCATGCCGTGGAGGTCGCGGTGGTGGAGGAGGGCCACGTGAGTACTTTATTGTAGCTATAAAAAGGCCTACGGGCACGTGGTCACTGTTTTCACGAGGCCCCCATCAATGGAGAAGCCATTGCTTTTGTACAAACTAACTGCCTATTGTAAGAGATTATCTGAGCAATAGCTAGCGCAATGATTTCGCCACTGAAGGGGGCCTCCGTGATAGAATTGGCAGCGTGCCCAGATTGGTCTATACTTAGATCAGGAACTGGTTCATTTTTAGTGAAGTGACTACGGCTAGCTGGCAGTAAGCACACACTTCGAGGGCAAGTGGCTTTTAATAGCCGCTTCCCTAGGCGCATGCGTGTGCAAGTCATAGCCAAGAGCTCAAACACGGCCTCCATCTTTGTACTTTTTTATTTGACAAAAATCCCAGCTTTTACTAATGTAAATTATCAGAAAGAACTCCGTATATTCACAGTTTTACTCTCCATTATGGCCACATTCTAATATTAAACAAACAAAATAAAAAAAAAAACATATGTGAATATATTGCATTTATCTCCATGACGCAGAACTGTACGTGACGCAGAACAGTGCGTTATATTGTGACCTTTTTGGATGTCATGCTGGTGACAAAAAACTTCATTTTGCAACGTTTTTTTTACTAGAATTTTTAGTTCATTGCTTTGTTCATTTATTCCAAGATAAAATTCCCCCTTTTTGAGTGTGAATGGTTTTGGAAAGTATAGAGGAACGGCCCTTTTGAACAAGTAATTCACTTTTTGGAACAGGACATCGAACAATTAAAAGATCTGCCAGTCTCTATGCCCTACTTGTAGAAAAATGGTGTTGCATGTTTTGCGGTTCGAAATTGATTCAGAAGATTTTTTGTGCATCGGAATTTTTTCACAATCTCTCTATTTTGGGCGTCTCTAACCCTCCGAAAAAGGCCTCTAATGCACACAAAAAGATCGAACTGGTACTTTTCAAACACCTCGTGAAATGATTCCGTCTGACTTACTGCCCTTTAGGAGAAACCAAGAAATAGTGGTGAGCTCCAACGATCAGTCAATACTAATTGACTGATTTTGTTTGGTGATTGGTATAGGCCAAGAGAGTTATTGACAAAATCGATTTACATGCAAAGATTCCCGATATTCAAAATAAAAGTCTGAAGGAGAGAAAAAAAATTATTGAAGAGCGTTTTTTTTTACCCGTTTCACTTAATTCCGGAAATCTTTGCATGTAAATAATTTCAATAGTAGGTACAATGTCCATTGAGCAAGAGAATAGCCCACGCTGTGATCATTTTGCTTTTCATGCATTGTATAAGTTTCAGCTCAAAAAAGGGAGGGGAAAAAGAGAAGAAGGGAAAAAAAGAAGACGAGGTGCGAAGTCATAAATATTGCTGTTAATGCACATTATTTTAACAACACGGTGTTTGGGAAATAATGTGCTTTGTCCCCTCTGGAAAAATCATGGCGACGCCCATGCATGCACACACCCGGCCATTTGATCACGACTCCCGTTTATTCTAAAAAAAAAAAAAAAAAAACAGTCAATAGACTGAAAGTTGGAAATTCATTTCTTGATTTCTTGTAAATGACAGCAAGCCAGACGGAATAATGTCACGGGGTGTTTAGTACCAGTACGATCTCTAATCCAAGTAAGCTTTTTGACAAGAATTCGGTACGCTATACTTTTGAGACAAAATCCCATAATACGCCTTTAAAAATGTGTGCTTGTATAGCTCCAGACAGATCGCCACCGAGGTTGAAAGAGGGAACATGTCCTTCCGACAAAACTGAGTACGCGAACGCTCAATCTACGGGGCTGTATGTGTATTGGAGCGTTCCAAAAGGGGACGACCCAAGCGGGGTCACGTGAGTAAAAACCTTAGGCCTTAAGGGGTCCATGTAATGGATTTTTAAAATTGCAATCCAAAAGTGTTTCATATTAACTTGATCTTCATACAGCCTTAAAGGCATGACATGTCACCTCCCGCCCCCCCCCCCCCCCCCCCCCCCCCCCACCGATCGACGCCAATGGTCTTTCATGGCGGAAACTTTAGTGTCACACATTCTGCTTCAGCATAAAATCACCAGAAACTTTAGGTGTTTGATGTGGTTGTTAGGCTAATCTCTTTTCAGGAGTTCCTTGTTCTTCCAGTATATGACAGTTATACGCATAATATAAACGTATCATTTTTCTTTTAGATTTTGAAGAGAAAAACCCTAAATTGAAGAGTGTGTTCCTAAAATGACATTTTTTAAAATACATTTTTAAAATGTATTAAAACAAAAAGCACTTTGCAAAGATTCCCACTTCCCCCAAAAGAGGATGTCTCATTATGAGCTTTTATGCATTTCAGGAGACTAGATATTTGCTAAAATGCCTGCTCTAGTTTACAATTGATTTATGGACTTAATGGTGTGGACCCTAAAAGAAAAGTTACATAATTTTCTAGAAATGACAAAAGATTGTGTTTCAGGCGCGCGATATACGCACAACAGAGGCTGCGTGCTGTAGGGATTGGGTCCTATCCTGTCCCCCCCCCCCCCCCCAAATGATGAATTCTAATTCTTTTAATGTGTTGAAACATGATTTGTTAATGCTCTGTTGGGAAAAAAGACAACAAAACTTTCTGACCGTGGGAAAAACACTTACGCCTGATTTACTTTACACAAAGTTTGAAAAGGGGAGGTTACTATTTAAAAAAAAAACCTTATGTGAAGCTACCCGGCCGCACAATCGGCATGGGCGTCGCCAGAATTTCTTTCTAGGGGTGGGGTGGGGGCAAAGCCCCAAAAATCCTTGTACTTTCTCTAGCATATTCTCAATTTGTATTTTTGTTAGGATTGGCGGGGGACATTTGCCCACCCCACCCCATTGTCACCCCTGCAGACGCCCATTTTGTAAAAATTTGTGTAAATATATAGCAAATATTACCTCACACCTCTTTTTTTTTCTTCTTCTTTTTTCTCCTTCTTTTTTTTCTCCTTCTTTTGTTGTTGTTGTTGTTGCTTTGTCAGGAGGGGGCATATACATAACAGTCAAAACGGTCGATATTAACGACGAAAAACCTATTAATTTCTTGAGGATAGAATCACTTTCGACCCCCCCCCCCCCCCCCCACTTTCCAAACATTCGAGTGAGATCCTCCCCTGCTATGTCTCATGACGTCACCATTACTATCAATTTCGTTCTCATATAATGGCTTTCGAACTGTACTATGGAAAATCCTGAGAACGAGGTTAGTAAAGATGGCGGAAAGGAAAGCAGACGATGTTTCCGTTAATTTGTTGTTCTGGTTCTGGTATTTACTGCGCAAACACCTCCCAAGTCGTTATCTGTATCTGTATCTGTTCGTCCACGTACAAACACCATCTTCTGGTTGTTGCATACGTTGGTCGGGTCGTGTGCAATAGGTTATGGGATGAGCGGTGAGGTTTGTCATGTTTACGTTTGTTGATGGCCTGTAGTACTAGTAGTAGCTTGAGTAACTCTAGCCCCATAAATGTGGCCTATTTACTGGACTGCCTCCGTAAACATAGGCCACACGTCCACATGTACAAAAATCGTGTCGACTTTGCCAAATTTTGATTTTCACATTTAGGCTTAGTTTGTAGGATTTTTTTGCTTTAGAAGCATACTCACCCACTTTATGGGCTAGTCAGAAAGTGCTGCCTTTTTCAGATGTCTAATTTTTGTGAAATTTCATGTTGAAATTTTGATACGCAAACGTGTAAAAATGAATCTGGAAATTTCACGAAAAATATCCATCTGAAAAAGGCAGCACTTTCTGATTAGCCTATAAAGAGGGTGAGTATGCTTCTAAAGCAAAAAAATCCTACAAACTAAGCCTTAATGTGAAAATCAAAATTTGGCAAAGTCGACACGATTTTTGTACATGTGGATGTGTGGCCTATGTTTACGGAGGCAGTCCAGTAAATAGGCCACATTTATGGGGCTAGAGTAACTCCAGCTGACATGCTCATATTCATTCACATACATGTGAATGAATATGGAACATTGTCAGCTGGAGTTACTCAAGCTAGGCCTGTAGTAGTCTGTACTGTAATATTGACGTCTGGTGCACTTCACGAACCAAACAACGTTTCGTTGCAGTTCGTGCAATTTCGTGTTGGAATTTAGATATGTTAACTTTACTTCTGGAATCAGAAGACTTCTCTCCGTCAGCAGAGAGAAGCCTTCTGATTCCAGAAGTACGCTAATGTGTGCAAATGAACCTGGAAATTACACGAAATATAGACGTCTGAAAAAGGGGGATTCAGTATCATGTCTATCGCTCTATAATTAAATTTAAAAGGCGATCGTGTAGTGAAGGGCCCGGTTCCTAGTACTATCAGGGAACAAAATCCACTTTAAAATTATTGGACCTACCAAACTAGTTGGCGGCATTCTCAATAAACAGGTATGTCATAGATAAAGGGCAGGGTTTTAAATTTTTGAGGGAAAGTTGGGGGTAAAATGACGATGACAGCGTGGAAACAACACGCGACCCGAAATGGCGATCACCGCGCGATGTACCGTGAACACTCATGGCGCGCTGAATCGCAAGGCACAAACCACGCAGGAAAATCGTGAGTTCAAGAATCTGTTCAAAATTGCAAAATGTGTGTCATTAAAATTGAGAAAAGTCTGCTTTTGATTTTTGTAAAGGTGATTTTTGAGCAATAAAAAACATTTTTGACTCTAATTTGATCAAAACAAAACAGGGGCCCTACACTTCACGATCGCCCTATAAAAGAGGGTGGGTGTGCTTCTAAAGCATAAATAAATAAACTACAAACAAAGTCTAA